AGAGAAAGAGAGAGAGAAAGGAAGAAAGAGAGAGAGAAAGAAAGAAAGATTAACCATCCGGTTCCAAAGGATACTGACTAGGAAATATTAGAACCTACAGCAGAAGCAATACTACTAGAATAAAGTATTTAAGCACCATTTAAGCAATCAGGTTGAACCCTCCACCAGCGGTTTTACCGCTCTCACCGGAGACCATGGCGACATTTCCCACTGCCAGCCGCAGGTGGCGCGCCTGCACGCGTCCAGGTCAGTCACGTCTAGTTCTTCCTCCGTCTCGGCTTCCGGTTCCGTTTCGGGTAAATATGTCGGTTCGTAATCCGGCTCGGGTTCCGATTCCGGATTTAATGCTAACCCAGATCCTGACTCTGATTCCGTATCCGGTAGAGTGGCGTTGGTATGATTTCCGTCTGTAGTGTCGACATCCTATATTTTTTGGATACCATTTAACTGTTTTCAGATGAAATCACTGCATATCAGAAACCCATCACCACATCTGCATATCACCGTTTTTTTTTGCTAAAAATTGGAAGTTTTTGGGACATTTTGATCAAATATAGACATTCTTGTGAGCCTTTGTCTTTATCTTTTACGAGCTGGTTTAGCAAGTTATACCCCTCAGCTCACAAAGATCCATGGACCGCCTACACGGCGTAGCTTGCCTCCATAAGTTTTGAAGTTCTAATTGTGACGGGCAGTCGGTATTGAACCGTCAAGATATAATATTAAGTATAATAATATTAAAAGGCATCCAATGCAGTTTTTAGGGCTAGGATCCCAATTTTTCAAAGCCAATATTCTAGTCATTTAACTACATAGTGAGTCAAAACCACACATATATTGACCCTCAAGGAGAAAAAAAAATTCCCAAAATTTTGACGGAAAATGGTTACTGGGTGGGCCCGTGGCTGATTTGTTAGGTACCACCCAAAAAAAGGACTCGTCTTGTGGCTTGTTTCTGCAGTTTAAAATGCCCAAAGTATGAAATGCTGACTCAAATGTGAAGCAGTATATGTCAATATCACAAAAATGCCTTATTCAGAATACTTCCAGTTTTGCTGCCCTAAAATCGCTTTGGATGTCTTTGAATCCCCCTTGCGATTACTAAAACATGCAACCACTAACCTCCGAGAAGGTAGAGATCCACCATTCCGGCGGGCAGGGTTCAGAATTACATTCCTTGGTCGCCGATGGTTTGGCGGTACTGTTGCACAGCTCATCGTAAACTGTCGTGTCCAACCCGCGGGATATCACCTTCCAACACCGCACCGTCCGCTTCTGCGTCCCGCTACCACAGGTCTTAGTACAGTCAGTCCAGTCACTGGTGATCCATCTGGGAGAGGGAAACATGTAACAAAATTAAAATAGATTAAAATAAAATAAAATGAAATGAAATAAAATAAAATAAAATAAAATAAAATAAAATAAAATAAAATAAAATAAAATAAAATAAAATAAAATAAAATAAAATAAAATAAAATAAAATAAAATAAAATAAAATAAAATAAAATAAAATAAAATAAAATAAAATAAAATAAATGTAACACACGTTTGATTAAACAATAAATCAGAGCGATGTACTCTCCAAGCAGAGGTTTGAGTTTTGGGTTGTTTTGGCGTGTTTTTAGACTATTTTTATCGGGGATGGGTGAAAAAAAATTCCAGTGCAAAAAAGAATGAGGAATAAGGAATTATAAATATACGCCAAAAATAACCCAAACCTCTGCTTGGAGAGTAAGATCAATGAAGGTTAGACATCCAGGTAAAAACATACGATTAAAACATTTACTCATGCAAGTAACTGGATATGATTTTTAAAATAGCCCAAAATTTCAGGTAGAATTCGCTACCGTTTTTCATTGACACTAGTGAGGTCTCAAAATCAGCAGATATTTTAAAGTGTAGTGAGGGTGAACATCGTTAAACATAGATTTTTCTAATTTGAACATCATTTGCATAACATAAGGAAATGATATAGAACATTCAATGTTGAGATGAGATTGACATCGTGTGGAGAATATGACAAACTGACATAACTCTTGAAAATGAGAATTATTTTTCATAACTGATGATAGACATCTACAAGTCATCAGCCGTAAAGATTAACATCCTTTGGCGAAGGTATGAGATCGTGGAACTCTAATTTACCTTGCTTTGCACGGTTTTCCTACGCAGTAGTCGAAAGAAGGTGTAGGTTTCATTCGGGCATCACAAAATGCCTCCGGAACCTCTCGCATGTCGTTATCCACACAGATGGAAAACTTCGTCACCACGCCTGGAGGTAAACATTAGAATGATCAAACTGCAAGTAAATGTGGGGACCAAGACGGGAGACGATACAGACTGTCAGCAACCCTTTATGCCGAATCCAAGTGAAGCGCTCTGAGCATACATGTATACGTGCCGACCTCAATTACATTGAAGCATGCAAGGTGAATTTAGTGAGTCGAAACGATTGCCCCATAATAACTTTGCTAATGGTTTTGATTAATATAATATATTCTTATTGTCCTAATCATCCTAATAAATCCAGTTACGCACAATCTGTTACTTACTAGTTATTTGGCACTTGACTTCTGCATCCCCAAATATCTCTGACTGACGACTGATCGTTATTGTATGACGATTATCATTTTCTATATAGTTTATATACATGATTTAGCATTTATACGTCCATGTATTTTATAATTTTGTTACTTATCTGTATTTGTTACTTGTGGGCTTCCTGGTACGCGCTAGAGGGACTACTTTCAAAGATCAATAAATAAATAAATCTAAACGTGACATAAGCAATTTGTGTCTTTGTCACCATTGCTGTTAAGGTCACAATATCTAGAGACTTATCATGTGATCTGTAGACATTATTTGTCATTTTCGTTGCAAAGGAAGACAATACGAGCGTCAAAACTAAACGCACTACTTTTTTGTATTAGAACAAAGAGTTAGCTCTGTAACATTAATTGATTAACTAACAACACGAAAAAAAAATTAATATTTACTATCTTACCTAGTTCAGGTGTGCATGTTGTACTACAAGGTGTGACTCTTCCGTTCAGTTTCCAGTGATACTTTTTAGGATCCGGTGTTGTGATGCTTTGGCTCGGGATAGAAGTGCTACGAGACAACAGAAAAAAAGATGTCATACTATCAATCAATTGACAATAATAGTGAAAAAACGTACTATTGATGTTACCATTACGACAATCTGATCCATTCTCGCCTATATTTTACAAAACATTAATTCTAAAAACTCTGCATGTACGTAAAGGTCGCAAAAAAAACCAATTACAAGTCCTCCTTGGTTCTTCAAAAATGTGTTAAACAACTTTTTATCAGTAGTGCATATCTCGGGGATCACCGATACTGTATCCGATAGATTTCTTTGGGTTCATTCTTTGAATTATAAGGGTTTAGGCCATATTGACTTGATTATATGGTTGACATCCTCTGGGAACCCCAACTGATGCGAACGTGAAAAAAAAGTTATTTTCATTTTGAAATCTACGTGGTCATAAAGGTTGAACAAATGACTAAACACTATGAGTATGGTATGCTGTATGATAGTAGACTCTTCAATTTTATTTGTTTGTATTTACTTCTTTTCCTGAATTGATTTTGGCATTCGAATTCTATGCCGTCAGTATTGTTTTCCAATACTTTTTTTTTTCAAAATACGACAAAATACTACAAATACAGTATGGTCGAAACTTTTTTTGGAAACGAACGAATATTCATGCGCGCGTGGATGTCATCCATATAATCAAATCGACATGGCCTAACGTTAAAAAAAGACAGCGCGAAGCACCTTTCTTGCCTGCTGGCCGTAGCTGCCGGTTGTCTGGTGAGAGGAGCGGAGACTGTCGCCGGTACCGCAGAACGGGAATCTTCAGATGCCTGGACTTCATCATCTTCTTCAGCTGAAGCTCTGGCTACGATGGAAAAATAATAATTTTGTCTTCAAGTAGCATCGCACTGCCAATGATTTTAAACCAAATTTGTTGATCATCGAATGCATGAAAACATATTGCTTTTCCTCTGTTTCTTTTTCTTCTTCTCCAAACCGATGTGGTCAATGACCTGAACCAGACGTCTGTCACTGTGGTAACTATTGTTCGGTTACATCATGTTGCAATTTTATAGCAGAAGGGATTTAGACTCCTGTCTGACCATCTAAATGAATGTGTTTGAGTAAGAATCAACAGAGCAGACCATATGCGAAGCCACATGTAAACATTATGCATTTGCTTTGCAAATTTAACCTTTCTAGTTTTATTTATTTATGTTTTAAAACTTAAGCTATTCAGGGGCTATTCACGGAATACCTCTTTGTATGACGCGCCTCGGTGTCTCTGTTTCGCTTCGTGGTTTGAAGTATATCGGAAGTCCCCTTGAGGGCCCTCCAAGGAATTCTTCTTCTTCCGACAGTACTCTGACTGGCGGGCGAACTTCTCCAGATGGTCCCAGTACCGTGATTTGTCTGAAGACGGGTTTCTTAGGAACGGTGTACTCGAAGCTTGTCACAGACGATGCATTCGCTGTGGCACTGAGCAGCTTAAAAAAAAGAAGAAGAAAACACACATTTCCTTACATTTTAAGTACGATGGGTACTTTTCCTCTTTTTACGTATATTTACTTGTTTAAATGAGAGTTCCGTACATTTTTATCAGCAAAATATGTCTTTTTCTTAGGCCACAGCAAGTAAATTTTAGGGATGACATCCTCCGCAGACTCCAAATCTAATGCGCGAGCGGCCAAAAAAAAAAACAAGGCGGGTCTAAAAATAACAAGGTTCCTACATTTTTAACTTTTGACTCAACCATTGTACAAATGGTTTTGATTCAGTTGGAACATTACATATACACAGCCAGCATCACATATCACTGCATCAAAGTAAGAAACAAAACATTAAATCAGAGCTTTTTCTTATCTCCTCTCTTCATAGTTATCTGCCATCCACCTTCCGGCATGGCAACAGACATCTTGCCCATTTTCGGCATGTTGCCCACTGTCAGAAGGCAACAAAATTTCTTTTTTTCCCCAAATCAGGCGAAAATTAATGCGCGCGCTGATGTCATACATAAAATTACTTGCTGTGGCCTTATTAAGAAAAACAAACATATTTTGTCTTGATTAAAATACCATAATCTTACCAATACGTGCAGAGATTCAGTAGTTGGTCCGTCGGAGGTTATGGTTTCTACAGCGCCCTCTCCCTCCTGTCGTGTGTACTGCAGTACCGTCCCCGCTGCTACGAGAGACTTGGGGCTGGGATGTATGACGAAATCCCCGTTCAAGTAGAAATCGTCACTGTCATTCCTGAGGGCTTAAGTACGGGGTATTCACATCAGCAATGAAAACTTTATCTTTTAAGTTAACAAAATTAGGGTTGTCGGGTGGTGTAGTGCACTGGACGAAATAGGTACGGATACACCCATATCCAGGCCGTTATTTCGCCGCATCCTACAAGGATACAGGCAAATACCGGCAGATACGGCTCGCATTTGTTACGGATCCGAAATTTCGCATCCCTGAATCCGGACTGTTTTGGATGCGGACAAATTCGAAAATCGTATTTTTCGCAGATGCGATGACGGCTTTTGTAGGAAACTTTTTGCATCCTTTAGGTGAACCACGCTAAAACGTCGGAATTTTGTTGGATCCTAACCAAATCCGGCCGCTGATTCCCTGTATTTACGACGCATACGTGTGGACGATATTCGAATTTTCCAGATTCCAACAAATCCGATACATGCATCCGTCCGTATTTGCTGCGAATGTGCAGATACGAAATCAAGATTTTCCCGTATCCCTCACGAATCCGAAACCTGAATCCGTCCGTATTTGCTGCGAATGTGCAGATACGAAATCAGGATTTTCCCGTATCCCTCACGAATCCGAAACCTGAATCCGTCCGTATTT